CTGTTTCTGATGAGGGTATAAAAAGTCTTACTGCTCTCAATAAAATTGTCACAGCTTCAGTCTTACTGTGGCCCCTCCAGTTCGAACCTGGTTTAATTCCTCCAGACTATATCAGGTGACCTTGCCCCAGTAAGCAAGCACGGATGCTTACACTCTCCTATACTTGCTGCTGTATCCTTGAAGGCTGAGACTCCCAGAACTGTGGCTCAGTTATGTCCATGGGCTCCTTTGGTTCCCCCACGGAGTACTCTGCTTTGCCAGGAAGCACAATCAGAATTAGTTATTACCCCCACAATGCTGGCTGTCTATCATCCACTCACACAAATGGATAAATGCTGGGTGTACGTGCCAGGTGGGCTGGTAAACTATTTATGCTTGTTAAACACAGAATAAAAGGTTGCTTTCGTAACTACTCACTTCAGTATTGTCGAACTAGCCTGTGCCAAAGACTGTGACCACACGGTGAAGTTGGCGGTTGCTAGAGCTGTGATTCAAGAATCCCAATGAAAACAGCAGCCAAGGTCAGCCCAACAACTTTTGGATCAGGTGTGACCCGAAGAAGCTGCCTGTCTCCAGAAAGATGTTCTCTCTTCTGGCTCTGCAGAGAAGAAAGATGTCATCATTCATCCAATGATCTGATGTCAGATATCTGACTTTAGTGTGAAACTGAGATCTGAGCTCACGGAAGCACAGTGAGTGTAAACAAAGACTCTGATCTGCCCTCACATGAGCAGCACACGGTCCTTGCCCCCCCCCCCTCAGTGCCACACACAAGTCTGGCTGAATCCCGATGACCAGGTGTGCATCAGGATTCAGACGGACGTAGAAAAGCAGTTCTATGCATTGTGCTACCAGAGTCTGGGGCCACACCTCACAGCCAAACACATCCATATCACTGCGGGCAATATGAACGGCACATAGGGGGTAGGTAAAACTAGCTCACCTCCACAAGCATTTCACCTAAGGGTTACAGTCATGTGATTCAGGCCAGGTGGAAGATGTTTACTTCTAGGGGAGTGGTGAAAACTCTGATATTTTCAGAGCTCTCCTTGTTTTTCCTGAATTGTGTCCAAGTCATCACCACAGCTGACATGTGATGACACTGGAGTATATGATGTGTTACGTGACCTCCTGCCGCCTAAGTCACTCTTCATGGGTGTTTAGATCCTTAACTGTTCCATGGAAATATTAGTAACAACATACATTTTGAAGACTATGTGTGTAGGGTTGTGGAGGTGGGGTGGGGGCAGGGCAAAAAAAATCCAGGCTTGACTGTAAAAATCAGAAGATTCCTGACCATATTTCTCATTCAGGGCAATGTTTTCGTCCCCAAGCTCTGTCTTGATCAGATTCCATAATTGCTATTACGTCCGTGGTGTCGCTCCTGAATCCCTCTCTGCTTTTCTGCATCTTGACCCCGACATCATCCTAAGTTTTTCCTTCTTCTTTCCAGACTTGCTTTCACTCCAGGACTTTTACACTTGTTCCCTCTGTCTGGAACACTCCTCTCCCCAGGTGGGAAGCGGGTAGCAATGCGGCTGCTTCCTTGCCTCCTACCAACTGCCAAGTTCTCAGTGTCCCTCGCTGTGGTCTCTCTCACCAGCACGCTCTAATCCCGGTCTTCCTCCCTTGCCTCTGTTTCCTCCACCACACTCGTCTCAGTGGACTATGCATTCAACTGTGAGTTTGTTTATAACCTGTGAGTTCTCAGATGTCAAGTCTTTTGGTCTTTGCACTTCTTTGCTGTATCTTAACTACATCAGGAACTTAACAGTCGGGAACTACATCTGGCATAAGGCAAGTGCTCACTCAGTATTGTATCAGCTGCCATAGAGCAGAGTTGACATGGTGCTTGCCCAGCAATTTATAAATCAGGCACGGTGGTGTACGTCTGTAATCCCAGCACTGTGAAGGTAAGGCAGGAGGATCAGAAGTTCACGGCTGTCCTCCAGGTACATAGTGAGTTCAAGGCCAGCCTAGGGTATCTGAAATCCTGCTTCAAAAAATATGGCTGAATGGATGCACACATTTCATTTCTGTGTTTGATCTGACCTTTGCTACCTAGCTGTTGGTGCCAAGTGTCAGAGTTAACCTCCTCTGTGTGCAGGAAGGCCGCACAATGCATATATAACACAATGTTTATGCAGTTTTTTCTAGGAAAATTTCCCCAGTGAGCACTACCATGGAAAGCTGGCTCTCAGCCTTGTGAAAGGGTACTTATAGCGAAGAGCAATTAGCGTAGACAGTAAAACAGGACGTAAGTCTCCACGGAAATTGAAAACCAAAGTGTGGAAGTTCCATATTAGCAGGAGGTACTTCAGGAGACAGCTTGTAGTCTACGGAAACACGTCTCAGAGGGAACTGCTTTGGGAAAGGTTCTCTTGTCAAGATGAGATTCAGCCTTGCAGCTCGAGGACCTTACTCTTGTTTATGCTTTGTCTTGTTCATGGGTCTGGAGGAGGCTGACTCATGTTGCCAAGTTAAGAGAGATTGAAGAGCATTCTAGAATAGGAGATACAAAGTATGCAATGAGAAATTAATCTGGTACAGAGACCGGGACTCTGACCCACTTGTCGGGGACAGCATCTGCTCTCCCTTTTGGCAGAGGAGACACGCATGACATTCAGATTTTGTGTCTGAGGGTAGATTATGGTCATGTGAATTCTTAAGCACTTCCAGCTGGACCAACACCTCACTGAAGGGGATATGGGATCCTTTTCTCCACAGGATCAGTTGGCTGTTGGTCATGCCAGTTATTTGTTTATTGTGTGTGATATATATGTCACACATATGTGTGTATGTGTGTGTACATATGTGTATATGTATATGTAGGGCAAAAGGCAGTATTAGATATTGTCTTAGTTAGGGTTTCTATTGCTTCAATGAAACACCATGACCAAAAAGTAAGTTGGGAAGGAAAGGGTTTATTCGGCTTACACTTCTACATCGCTGTTCATCACTGAAGGAAGTCAGAACAGGAACCTAAACAGGGCAGGAACCTGGAGTCAGGAGCTGATGCAGAGGCCATGGAGGGGTGCTGCTGACTGGCTTGCTTCCCTTGGCTTTCTTATAGAACCCAGGACCACCAGCTCAGGGATGGCACCACCTACCATGGGCTGCCCCCTCCCCGCACTGGTCACTAATTGAGAAAATGCCTTAGAGCTGGATCTCAGGGAGACATTTCCTCAACGGAGGCTCCTTCCTCTCTGATGACTCTAGCTTGTGTGTCAGGTTGACACAAAACCAGCCAGCACAGGTATCTCACTTGACCTCCACCATGTTTTATGGGACAGGGTCTCTTGCTGAACCTGCAACTCACCGGTTTAGCTAGACTGGCTGACCAGTAGCCCCAGGGATCCTCTTTAGTGCTGGGTCTACAGGTGCATGTCATTATCCCTGGTGGCTGCTGCTGCTGCTGCTTCTTTTTCTTTTCTTTTCTTTTCTTTTCTTTTCTTTTCTCTTCTTCTTCTTCTTCTTCTTCTTCTTCTTCTTCTTCTTCTTCTTCTTCTTCTTCTTCTTCTTCTTCTTCTTCTTCTTTAGTTTTTTGAGACAGGGTTTCTCTGTATAGCTTTGGTGCCTGTCCTGGAACTCGCTCTGTAGCCCAGGCTGGCCTCTAACTCACAGAGATCCGCCTGGCTCTGCCTCCTGAGTGCTGAGATTAAAGGCATGCACCACCACCGCCCGGCTATCCCTGGCTTCTTAGTGGGTACTGGAGATCTGAGCTTAGGTCTTCTTGCTGGAGAGCAAGCGCTTTATTGACCAAGCCAAATCCCACTTCCGGAGCCATTCCATTTGTTTGGTGTGTTGGTCAATTGTCAGCACCATCACAGAGCTGGATTTTGCTTTGGCCCTGAGCTGTTCTGCACTTTACGGTGAATAAGTGCCCCTCTCTAACACCGCTGCTGACTTGCTGATTTAGGAGCAACCTTATGGCTTATCTTCTCCAAAGTCTTCTCCCTCATGGCTTCCAAGGACAGCCCGTGGTTCCTAATTGCCTGAAATAAAGACATCGTTGCCTCCTCTACTCACCGTGCCATCTCAGTTTCAAACAATGAACAGTTCTGGAAAACAGCATGTCTTCCTTTAGGATTGTGTGTGTGTGTGTGTGTGTGTGTGTGTGTGTGTGTGTGTGTGTGTGTGTGTGTGACTGCAGAATGTGACATCTAGAATGTGTGCCCACTCAGGGAACTATTAAAACACATTGTCCTTTCTGTGTCCAATGCCGGGGCACAGACTGTGTAGAGCCAGGTCGTTGAATGCCTAAAATTTTATTGAAGAGACATCTAGTGGGGCTGATGTAAAAAAATGTCGCTCTGAATTCTGCATCGTCAGGGCTGGCAGACTGAGTGTCAACAGGGACCTCTAGTGTCCTGCAGAAAGCAGATCTAGAAGTGCTGACATTCTCAAATGCCTGCTTTCATATTCCACGTGTCAAACATGAGTGAGATGTCCTTCACAGGCTGCCATGCCCGCCTTACACTCATGAACGAGGCACTGAGTCCTGGAGAGGTCCATCCCTGCATTTTAAACTTCATGAGCTTGAAAGTAAGGATGCTTTTTCAATGGAGCACTGAGGACCGTGAACTGTAGCCTGTGACGAGGACTGTCACTTCGTAAGGCCAACACTGGTGCTGTTTCTAATCCCCAGTGACGGTCCTGTTAGTTTTCTCTACGTATTTCATACAAAGAATCTGTTACAGCAGGAGGTTAAATACCCAAATCCGGGTAACTGCAATGTGGAGACAGCTGGCCGACTTTGACCTCACAGCTCTAATTCTAAATTCTACATTTTTAGCCATGAAATTTTGCAGTATAAATCTGAAGGCCTAACTACAAGCTACTTTGCTTTTGTTTCCTTCCTCCTCTTCCTTCCTTCTTCCCCTCCCCTTCCCCCTTCCTTCTTTCCTTTGGTCTCTTCCTCTCTCCCTCCTTTCTTTCCTTCCTTCCTTGTTTCTTTCTATCTTCCTCTATCTCCTTTTGTTTCTTTCAGGCTGCTGGAGTTCAGGATACCCAAGCCTAAACCTGACGCCTCGGCACTTGGGAAAGCAGCAAGAGCCTGACAGACCCTCTCACGATTCCCCCTCTTCCTCTGAAGCAAGTGCTCAGACCCTCACAGGAGAAGCGCCTCCTTCCACCCACGGGAAAGGACTATCTTCATCTTTGAAGACCCGGGGACACAGAGACCGACCCACATAGCAGGCCCCGCTGTGTCCCACTCCGGTTTCTTACTGCTCAACCATACCTTGTTATCTAGCCATACCGCCCCATGGCTGTCTCCTTTATCAAAGTCGGCACAAGGAAGGTGCAGACATGGAGCTGCATTGGTAAAGTGTTTACCTTATAAGCAGGAATACATGGGTTCCATCTCTAGAACACAAGTTCAGACCAAAACAAAAGGGCTGCGTGTGGGAGTGTCTACTCTTTTTTTTTTTGGTTTTTCAAGACAGGTTTTCTCTGTGTAGCTTTGCGCCTTTCCTGGAACTCACTTTGTAGACCAGGCTGGCCTCGAACTCACAGAGATCCGCCTGACTCTGCCTCCTGAGTGCCGGGATTAAAGGCGTGCATCACCACCGCCCGGTGGGAGTGTGTACTCTTAATCCCCATGCTGGAGAATCAGAGACAGGCTGGTGGTCCTTGGGATCCACTGGCCATCTAGGCTAGCCTCCTTGGCTACTTCCAGGCCAGTGAGAGACCCTGTCTCAAACAAAATGAAAACCAAAACAAACCAACAACAAACCAAGGTGGATGATGCCTGAGTAATGACACTCAGGTTGTCCTTTGGCTACATTCACACACATATGCACACACACAGAGTGAGAGTGAGTGGGAGAGAGAGAGAGAGAGAGAGAGAGAGAGAGAAAGAGACAGAGACACACAGAGAGAGGAGAGAGAAAGATTGAGGGAAACACACACACACATGTAGAGAAACACACACACACACACACACACACACACACACACACACACACACACACATCACTCATGCTCCCCTGTGTCTTTGGGTCTTCCTTTTCTTATGAACTCTATTATCTGCGGTAAAGCGTGTGTTCCATTCATCTGCATGCTTTGGGCTTGTTCATCTGTCTTTGTTCTGGAACCTGGGCCATGAACCTGGCAATGGACGAGGGGAGAAATCCTTTCCTCTCCCATACGTTTCTCTCTTCATTCTCCCCAGCCAGCAGATGTATCTGTTTTTCATCAAGAGCTCTATGGCATTTGCCGCGGGAGTGGATTTCTTCTTGTCAGGGTTTTACTCTTAATGGCATTTTGACAACCACGGGGACTTGGTGTGCTCTGTCCTGACAGCACTAAATGATCTCCGACGTGAAATCAAAGCAGATATTTCACATGTCACCTGTGGGTAATGGCTTTTCTTGGGTGGCATCCAATCCAGGGAACTGATACCATTTTCCCCCTTTCCAGATGAAAATTGTTACTTGGTTTTTCTTTTTTTTCCAGTCCTAAATTATTCTGTCTGAGGATCTCCAAGTCAGCTGTGCAGGTGAGCCTGACACTCAGAGGTTAAGCGAGTCATCTGTTCTAAGTGAAATATTCAGAAGCCTTTTATCTTATTAGAGTGTCTGCAGCGCATGGCTTTCCAACCGTCAACAGGCTTTTGTTCTTTGAGGTTTTATGCTTTGTTTTTGTTTCAGTTTTGAACTGGACCCAGGAGGGGATTCTTCAGGCCTTTCAGTAAAAATGTATGATTAGGCCATATGGGGGTAGGGGTGGCTATGGCATGCGTGGCTGAAGGGATGTTCTACAGACATCTTTCCCTTGATGTGTAAACAACCCTGTCTGCTCATAGCTCTCAGTTGAGAAATTTCTCTCCCTTCTTGGGAGGGGCTGACGAGTTCATTGTCGTGTATCTGGACTGGTCATGTTCTATTTATTCTTCCCACATCGTGATGTGACCTGAGGTGGGCATGTAGCTCATGCATAGCTACTCAGGGGCCCTTTGGAGGCATTAATAAGGGTCTCAGCGAGATGACCTGTCCTTTAGTTGTAGGTGACTGTCCTCTGGGCCATGCAATTTCCTTCTTTGTGAGTTCAGCTGTCATTTCCTTGTGAAAGAATCATCCCAGCTGGGATTGTTGACTGTTTATGTCCACTTGTGGAGGGATGGAGAGGGTCACAAGACCTTTGAGTATCCAGTGGCTCTCTACCATGGTGGTAGTGAAGGAATGTCTACATCTGTTCAGCTACATGGAAGTTTTCCTTCCTACTGGGTAAAAGCTTCCCAGGTGCTCCCTTTTGGGGTGGGACCCCAATATCCCTGTAAGTAACCCCGGACCTATGCTCTCTACATAAGCCCAATATGCTCACTGGTTCCCCAGAGTGAATTTTGGTGGGCTCGTGCCTTGGTTTGTCAGTTTGTGTATTGGGACCATAGGAAGAAGGGTAGATGTTGTTTATCTCTCCCCCAAGGAAAGACTTTAGCAACACAAGATAAAGATTCACCTAAATCAGCAGCCCTGCTCCCTACTACCGGGTTGCCCATGGTGAAAACTTGTTGGGAGAGGAGGGAGGCTAAACCTGAGGATGAGTGAAGGCAGATCAATTGTATCTCCATGACATCATCAAATCCTCTGGGATCAGATACTCCTCATCTTGAGAAACCTCCTCCTTCACTGTTTAGTTAAGAACCAGCATATTCCTGTTTGCCTCACAGCAATGTGAGTTGGGTTTTTATCACACAACACCAAAAGTACCCAGAATTAATGCAGCTACATATGCAGCGATTTCTAGTAACTCTGGAGAGACGCCTTTCTGTGTCTATTGAATCCCCAAATGTCTTCAGCTCTAATTAATCCTCATGCCAAAGTGGCAGATTTGGGGGTGTCACATTTTATTCATCATTTCATCAAAAAGAAGAGTACAGGGGGAAATGAGGAAGGGGAGGGATATGCTCAACATTAAACCTGTACAAAAGATTAGAATATATTAACTGTTTAGACAAAAAAACAAAATTCATTGACTAATAAGTTTAACAAGGCACACTTTAGGTTCCCAAAGTCCTTTCAGCTCAAACAATAAGAAAAGAAAGTGATACACTCTCTGGCCACTATGACAAGATGGCAAATAGATTAATGAGTCCTTCAGTCAGGAGGCTAATCAGGATTCTTTAAGAGCATTGTCTGCTGTTCATAATCCCCGGCCAATATACACAGTTCCTCCCAGCTCCCATGGTAATGCGGTAACGGAGGGAAAACAGACATTTCAGGTACACAGGGTGGTCCCTCCTGGCAAGCATGTGTAAGGGGACCTGGGAACACTCAAGATGGTGCTGGTGTGTCAAGAACCAGAGAGTTACATTTGGGGATCATGGTCACTTTTTTTTTTTTTTTACTATAAGCTCTTTATTTTGAACAATGCAAATCATTATGCCAGGTGTTGGGATGTTGGCATGTGGGTCTTCCAAGGTGATCCGGCTAAATGCAGCCTCCCTCCAAATCAACCATAGTGTCAAAGGACCCATTAAAATAACTCAATGGAAGGCCATTTGGCCAAGATGGCTCCAAGGTCCTGGATCCCTATGTAAACAAGATGAATCTTATGCTCCCTGAGTCAGAAGCAGCTGACTGGGCACTCACTCTATCATCAGAGACTGTTAGCTGGGATAATCAACATGAGGCAAAGATCTGAACGTAACTAGTCAAACATTTCTCATTCGCACTATGAATGCTTTCCCACCGCAGGCTGCGTTGGTGCACTGGACACTGCCTCTGGTTTATAGCTGCCTTGTTGAGGAGTTACTTTCTGATCAAATAAACTCTTCAAGTTTTAGTGTACTTGTAGATGTAACCAACCATCTTATTAAATAAGAAACACAGAACCAATGCAAAGAAGAAAGCCAAGAGATCAGAGCTAAGAGCCTTACCCTGCAGCTAACCTTTTCAGCCAAGAGACCTCTCCAAAAGAGAGCTACTTCCTGTGCATTTGTCTTTATATAGTCTTTCTGTTCTGCCTTCTCATTGGTTGTAAACCCAAACACATGACTGCCTCGTCACTGCCTTTCTGTACAGACCTCCAGGTCTTCTATGGTTGGTATTGAGATTAAAGGTGTGTGTCTCCAATGTTGGCTGTATCCCTGAACACACAGAGATCTACCTAGCTCTGTCTACCAAGTCCTGGGTTTAAAGGCGTGCACCACCACCGCCATGCTCTTGCTATGGCTCTAATAGCTCTGACCCCTGGGCAACTTTATTTATTAACATACAATTAAAATCACATTTCAGTACAAATAAAATACCACCATATGTACTTAAATCTATATTTCTAACAGCCCTCACCCTGGTCAGGAAAACACCAATACCTTCCATCTGGGTGAGTTTCCCGTGAGACGAAAGGAGTTGCTGAAGTATTATACCCCTGACACTCTCCTCACTCAGGTGTTTCCAGACTGGTTCTGTGGCACAGGCCACCTTTACTGTATTGTGTTCAATTCTGATTTCAGTAAGGTGGGAGGCTCGTGTCGCCAAGCCTCGTGTGCCAGTGTCTCTAAGATTGTGTCAAGCAAACAAGAGAAAGGTTAAGGAAGGCTGCCAGGACGAAGGTTTCAGAGCCTGCCCAGACCCATACTGAAAAATGACACTTTGTGACTCCCTACAAGAGACTGTGGCTGACTAATGGATGCCAGTGTCTACGAGAATGTCGTGCAACAATTCTGCCACCATGGATAGAAATTTTAAGGAAATATTCTTCCTCAGTCGGGGTTTTTAATTGCTGTGAAGAGACACCATGACCCCGGCAACTCTTATAAAGAAAAACATTTAATTGGGCCTGGCTTACAGTTCAGAGGATTAGTTCATTATCATCATGGTGGGAAGCTTGGCAGCATGTAGGCAGACATGGTGCTGGAGAAGGAGCTGAGAGTTCTACATCTGGATCCACAGGCAGCTGGAAGGGAGAGTGACTGGGCCTGGCTTGAGCTTCTAAAACCTCAAAGCCTGCCTTCCAGTGACACACTTCCTCCAACAAGGCCATACCTACTCAAACAAAACTACACCTCATAATAGTGCCCCCCGTTCCCCCCCACCCCCCGTGAGCCTATTGGGGGTAGGGAACATTTGCATTCAAACAATTACATAATCCCTCAGTGAAACTGTAGCCAGGGACCACCAGTGATATTTCCTAAATCCTTAAAATGCATTTCTTTCCAAGGACATGGCCTCCAGAGTCAAAAGGTGAGTGTGAAAAGGTAATCCAGTTCTCCCACCCCCATGAAGATTATATCATTGCCAAAAGCATGCTGGCTTCCAGTCTTGTTGACCCATGGCTCTTTCTCATTTCCCACAGAATCTCACAGGAAATTCTTCTCTGTAGACAAAGAAGAGAATTGTACTGTTGGCAATTTCCTACACAATTCAATTTTGAGGTGGAACTTTTTCTAGGTGCACAGGCTATATTTGAATTTCACCAGCTGTTTCCTTAATGGTTGTTAGAATATTTTTGGTAACAGCAGTGGCTTGAGGAGAAATATGATGTTACCTAATCTTTCTTTAATAGGAGAGATATTTGTATTATATACTTAATACAGAAATGTCTTCTTTCTGGGTGTCCCTTGATTATGCTGGCTTTAGTGGTCATGTCAATCATCAGCACACAGATTCTATTGTTCATGTGAAAAAGAATCTGATATTGCCTTGCTTTTCATCCTCTGTGGAAGTTCTCAGGTACAGTGGGATTTTTTTCCCCAAGCTTTCTGCTTTTTGGCTTATTCTTGTATGGGCTCAGGTGTTTTTCTTTCTTTGCTTTCTTAAATAAAAACACCATTTCCATCTTTCTCAAATGCTCCTAGAAAGCATTTGTGGCCAGCTAATTTTTTTTTTAAAAAAAGATTTGTAAAGACAAGGGATTCCATTCCTGCTGAGTACAGCAGTCTTTAGACATAGAATTACCCCCATCGGTTTCCAGTGGAGACAACCTCAGCTCTCCGTTAGTGCTGATGTCTCTTGAGCTCTTCTCTCCCCCAGGCCTCCAGATCTCATTTTCCTGGAACTTTCTCTTCTGCATCCCTCCATCAATTTAATGTCCCCAGTTTCTCAGTCTTCTTTTGGAAAAAAAAATTTTTTTTTTCCAAGACAGAGTTTCTCTGTGTAGCCCTGGCTATCCTGGAACATGCTCTGTGGACCAGGCTGGCCTTGAACTCAAAGATCTGCCTGCCTCTGCCTCCTGAGTGCCGGGACTAAGGTGTGTCAACACCACCTGGCTCTAGTCTCCTTCTAAAAAATACCTCAGAATCTAATTTTCTAACAGCCAATAGGCTTTTTAATGCCTTTTGGTAAGCAAAACACAGTTCATTCTTAGGAGAAGTTGAACCAACAGTTTTTTTTAAATAAAATTTTGTTCCTGCCTTGCTACTTGATGTCTATGACATATTCAGATTTTAGTATTGATCAGTATTATTTTTAGAGTATTGCCAAAAATAAGTGATATTGAGACTCCTTAAGGAGCCAGAGCTCTACTACCGCCTAGAAACACATTCTTCTTACATTTTAGGGAGAGTAGTTTCTTTCTGTTGTAGTCCAGGGAGGAGATCCTTTCCTACAAACAGGCTCATCATTCTCTTTAAAAAATGTTTTGGGATGTGGTGGTACACACCTTTAACTCCAGCACTCAGGACACGGAGGCAGGTGGATTTCTGTGAGTTCAAGGTCAGCCTGGTCTACACCGCAAGCTCCAAGCCAGCCAGGGTTACATTGGAAAGCCCTTAGATGCTTGTATTTCTGGGACATTGTACGTTAACTAGAGATGGATATTAGAATTAAAATTATGATCCTGAGGGTATATATCCAACATGCGCAAAAGCAGGGAATTTGGAAAGAGCTGATCTGCTCACGCACCTTCTCATCTTTGCTCTAGTCAGAGACTTGAGCTCAGAAACAAAACTGGAGCGCTCAGTCAGAGAAGAAACTGTTTCCAGCTTGGGAGCCCGCCTGGTCACTCTTGGCTCCTTACCATAGCGCAAGACTGAAATGCCCCTCTTCATATTCACTTCGTAAATGAGAGTTGGTAAGTCCCTGGGATGGAGTCTTCTCAGGGGCTCCATAGCATTTAAGCCAATCCAGTGGTTCTTGACCTCTGGGTTGCAATCCCTTTGGGGATTGAGTGACCCTTTTAAAGGGGTCACATATCAGATATCCTGCATGTCAGATACTTACATTATGATTCATGACAGTAGCAAAATCACAGTTATGAAGTAGCAATGCAATAATTTAATGGTTGAGGGTCACCACAGCATGAGGAGCTGTATTAAAGAGCCGCAGCATTAGGAAGGTTGAGAGTCACTGGTTTAATCTCTCATAGCACTTCTCTAGGGCAATGTACTTTCTTCATTGACAAAGTTTGATAAGAAATTGTCAGGCAGGTCAGTTTAGATAAAAAGGCCTGGAAGCTTTCCCTAAGGAGTGCATCTCACCTCAAATGGATGAGATCGGAAATGGTCTCATGACGCTGGTGTACAAGGCCCATTACCTCTATGTTGTGTACCAGCTGGTCTGTTTCAGACCATCATGTGACTTCATTCAGTGATGCCATCAGATGTCAGGGGTGCCTTCAGGGAGTCCTGGACCTGGACCAAACCAATGATAATCAGCTCTTGTCTTGCTTTTCCGTTCTCAGTCAGCAGCTGAGGCACGCACTTATTTAGCATTGTGTTTCTCATCCAGTTGTTTCCTGCTTTGACGGACTGTGAATGTAAACCAGTCATCTAAACACTGGAAGCCCTAACGTCTGCATGAGTAGGAACATAGCACCCCAGAAAGTGTCTCTGGTCACCTCTGAAAGTTTCCCACCAGGGTGTTATAGGTGCCCCCAAACCCCTGAAGAACAGGATGTCATTGGTAGCCTCCCATGCTCCTTCTGTCTCTCACTCCAGTTCTTTACCGTCATCTGTGTGTCCGCTGTTTGATAGCAATAAATACAGTATGTATACAGAAGAGAGATCCTGTGCTGAGTATTATGACATCGGTCGCTTACATATTAAGCTAATTAATCCTCATAGTAGTACTCTGGGGCAGGAACTGTTTGAAAGTGAGAAAACGTCAGCAAGAAAAAGAGGTCTTGCCCCTAACCACTTTTCTCTACACTTGTAGTCCTCGTGTTATTGTGTTGCGAGTGTGGACATGGGCTTTGGCACTAATAAGACTCAAGTTCAAATCCCAGCTCACCCACTTCTTTGTCATGAAACCTGGGAGAACAAATAAACTTCTCTGCCCCTCAGTATCCTCATGCCTAAAGGGAGAAAACATCAATTTTGTTGTGGTTGTTAAGTAGAGTAGTGCACAGAGCATCATGGGCAGAGTACCTGCCATATTGGGTGTGATGGACGCTAGCTCGTACTTTAACAGCAATGATAATCCTTAGGATTCCTTTCGCAGCTTAGCAGAGCAAGCCTTGGAGAAGTGGAAATTTTGCCCATGACTAAATGACCTTAAGAGGCAGGCTTTGAGACTCTGTCCAGCTCTGCATGTCACTGACCATGACATCATCAATGCTAAGACGCCATGTAGTTGGATCATAGTCACAGTGACCTTGGTTGACGGCTATGTGTGAGAATTTCCAGATGAGCATACTTGAATGGTGTAAGACAAGAGTGCTGAGCAGGGAGCGGTCAGGTGACTCTGAGTGCAAATCCTGCATAGCCTCAAGCCTTTGCCTAATGCTGAAATCTATACTTCGGTTCTTGCTAAGGAACTCATATTTCTCTTGAACTGACGACTCCAGCCCCATGTGTAACATAAGATCATGCAAAGGAGGGTAGTCGTGGAGGGCAGGCTCCTTGTCATTCTATGGTGGCATTGTGACTGTAATGGAAACCACATGCTTCATGGTTTGTTTGGTTTTTTTTTTTTTTTTGACTAGTTAATATTAGCAGGTCAGTCGCATTTTTATGTAGATATGGCTATTCCAGCTGCCTTTTCTCGTGTTTTTCAGAGAATTCAGAATTTGTGCCAGACACCAAGCTTTGTGAAGAGTGAAAAACCAGACGGACATGCCCAGCGCTTGCCACGTGCTCTTCTGGCTTCCATGTGGAATGCGTGCTTGTCTGCCAGAGTCCTTATGAAACAGGGACGTGGCTAACCCAGGCTCTTGCTTTCAAAGAGTGGTGGCGTTATAATGAGGTAATGAGAATAAATCATGAGAAAAGTCTAGAGTTTATCCTGGAGATCTTAGAAGACAGCACACGGGGCATTGGGATTGTGTCTGGTCACCTTGTGGAACTATTGATATTTGCTGGCATAATTTGATTATGATTACACATTTTGGTTTTATGAAGGGAAGAACATTCATTTCTACCCTCCTTAGCTCTTCCTTTGAATCTCACAATCCCTGTCTTTCAGATAAAGGTTTGATTTCTTAGGGGTGGGGGGAATCCTCTGATTACCATTTCTCACCTAAATTGTACTTCCTCCCAAAATGCCACTTCTCCCTCCCTAGAGGAAAATCAGGGCAGACGGAAGGTAGACTTTGAAGCTGATGGTGATGTTAGAAGTGGCAATCTCCATCCTAGGGGGAATCCTCAAATACCCGAGGATTGATTGATTCTAACTTTTCCTTTACTCCCCAAGATGAAAGAAAAAGATGAAGGATTTCTCAGTGGAGTTCCTTCCCATTAGAAGGCCAGAGACCCCCACCCATCTGCTGAGGGTCAGTGGGTTTCTGCCAGGCTGGTGGAGCAACACCAAGAGCCCTCTGTTGGTAGACAGCAGGGCTGCTGAGATCTGCTTTGCCATTAAAGAAAGCAAACCAAAGCAAACAGTGTTGTGAATGTCTTTCAGCCCAGTAGCTGCACATGAGAAACTGCTTCGTTTTTCCCTGTCATGACCATCTTGAGAACAGTCTATGCTTAACATTTCCTCTTGTCCACCCCCTGCCCCCACCATTTAATCGTCTTCAGGTAAGGAAACCAAGTCTTATGATGCATATACCAAGGCTTCTGTGAGTATCGAAAGTCCCTACAGCAGTGGTTCTCAACCTGTGGGTTGCAACCCCTTTAGGAGGGTTGAATGACCCTTTCACAGGGGTCACACATCAGATATCCTGCACATCAGATATTTACATTATGGTTCATAACAGTAGCAAAATTACAGTTATGAAGTTGCAACGAAAACAATTTTTATGGTTGGGGGGGTCACCACAACATGAGGAGCTGGATGAAAGGGTCACAGCATTAGGAAGGTTGAGAACCACTGCCCTACAGAGTCGGGACCATAACGTCCCCCTCAGATCGTGCAATGGAGAAGGAAGGTCTAGCCTTACAATGCCCCCACTCTGCCCCACTTGCTTGTCCTCAGTTTGCTTTGTTGACTTTGGTTTTTAGGGGTTGGAGCTGAGGCAGAGAAGGAGACAGAAGGAGTAGTCTTGGTCTTTCTGTGCTCTTCATGGGTCCTCCTCTTGGCTGACAGACCCGGGGCTAGTCATGATGTCACTGCATTTTCTACCCTGTGTGGGGGGCTTTTCAGAAGTCCTAGCTGCTGCTGAGGACAAAACACTCCGCCGCTGAGCTCTTGGGATCCGTGTCCCTCCTTTTATCCCACAGCTGTCCCTATCCCCCTTGCCCTAGGATGAGTCCTTTGGTGGTGTTTCCCGATACGTCCCCATGGTAACTACGGGACTCATGAGTGCTCCAGCACATCAAAGTAGTCTAGATGCCTCAGAAGTGCAGATGCTCAGAGTGCAGAGCAAGGCTTGCTGCACTATGGTCTCTGCTGGTCCTCGCTCATCCCTATCTCCAGTTCTCCAGCAGTACAAGGCCCCTTCGCTCAAGGGCAGAGAGTAGCCGGATGATCCCTGTCTTCAGGAATCCCCTTAACACACATTCCTGAGGAATTCCACTCTCCTCTGTGTACTCTTGTGACACACTAGTTTGGGAACCGTTTGGTGAGTTTTGGTACCCACCCAGCAGGTCCCTGTAGCCTGTGGAGGAAAGGATTTGCTGTTTAGTGTTTTCACTTAGGGGGCTTCAGCCAAATTGCAGAGATAATCGGAAAATCCCTTCCTACCTCACAGAGATTTGTAGGTTGCAAGTTGCTGAGAAGAACTTCCTGTTCTGACTGCCCTTTGAGACTTCTTCGTGAGTCATTTTGAAAAATACTCCCAGCCTGTACTGTCTCTAGGAACTCGGGCCTGTTCTGCGACAATGTCTGCAAATGTGTGCAAGTCTGCATCAGCAAATGTTTGCCAGCTAAACAGAAGCATAATTAACATGTCTACATTGGTAGAGAGCTCTATATTGTCATTGCGAAATGGGTTTCCTCTTTGCAAAGCTTGACTCTGTGACCGGTTTAATTATTTAATATTGCTAACTAGAGGGCCAGCCTCCAGTCAGCACCGGGGTACACAAAAGTGAGACTTTAAGGTCTCATTGTTATTGTCACCATATGATAAAAAAAAAAAAAAGAGACCCAGGCGAGAACAAGGTCCCATGGCTGGGAGAAGAAAAATATATCAGTTACAGTTTCTGTGGTTGTGATAAAACACCATGTTCAAAAGCAACTTGGAGAGGAGAGTTTAATTCAGCTTACAACTCTCAGCTCATACTCCATCACGGACAGAAGTCAGGGCAGGGACTGAACCAGGGGCTATGAAGAACCAGTGCTGACTAGTTTTCTCCTCATGACTTGCTCAGCCTGCTTTCTTATTCCTTCCAGGGGGGACCTACCCTGGGGTGGCACTGCCCGCAATGGGCTGGCCCTCCTTCATTAACCATTTACCAAGGAAATACCCCCCCCCCCAGACTTGGCCCTAGGACAGTCTGGTGGAGCATTTTCTCAGTTGAGGCTCCCTCTTCCCAGATGACTCCAACCTGTGTCAAGGTGTCATGAAAACCAGCCACCACATAAAGCCATCCCAAGGCCCTGGTTACCCTGTTTCCAGAGTTTCTGCTCATGGGCACCTTGTCCTTCTACCACTGAGGTTGGACTACAGTGAGGAATGAGACTCCTCCTCTGCCCACCTCCTGACAAAGCCTTTCAGAGTTTCCTTGGTCTAAGAAGTGTACCCTTCTTAGAGAACGGGATGTCTTCTCAAAGTTAGGTCTGTGGGTCACGGGCTGGGTTCCCACCACTTGGTACTTCTGCAGTTGGGTTGAGAAGAATAGATTCTAGATAGACGAGAACATCTTCCCAGGATGAGAACCCTGTGAGAATGGTCCCCTGGTCTGGATGTTTCTACAGTTGGACCATTGGGAGAACTGTGAACAGAGCACAGTGGGTCCATAGGGGGAGAATGTGGTGTCAGTTTCTTGAGTTAATCCCAGGTGTTCAGATAAGGTCAACACGACTGCACTCCTTCAAGCAGATAGCATGTACCATGAAGGGGTGCACATGGCTGAAGTGTGGTCACATCCTCATCAACCTTCCGGGTGAGCCCATGAGAAGGAAGATGTGCCCATCAAGGGAAGTTGTCTGAAGTTTTTGGTGGTATGCGGTGAGGAAGAGGTGGGACTTACGGCAGAGCAGGAATAAGAACAGGAGTTCAGAAGCAAGTGCCTCTCCAGAGAGGAATGATAAATAAGCCTCTGGCCGAGATGTTCTTAAAGGATCCAACCCGTGTCAGGGGAGGAGGAGAGAGGGAGGGTGCTGGGCCGAGCTCTTCCTTTACTGTGTCTGAGACAGCAGGTCCGAACAAGATTTGGCATAGTGGAAGCAAAGGCCTGCTGGATCAGCAAGTCACACAACAAGATTTGCTGGAGCCCTGGCTGGAATGCCATTGGTAGTAGGCAGAGAGAGCCAGTGCTTGTATCTGGAGTTTTCTCCAGTCCTGCCTGGCCCACAGTCAGGACAAATCTCTCTCACCCGCCAGTCCCACAGCCGCTCAGACCCAACCGGGTGAACACACAGAGACTTATATTGCTTACAAACTGTATGGCCACAGCAGGCTTCTTGTTATCTAGTTCTTCTATCTTAAATTAACCCATTTCTATAAATCTATACCGTGCCACATGGCTCATGGCTTACCGGTACCTTACATCTTGCTTGTCATGGCGGCGGCTGGCAGTGTCTCTCTGCCTCAGCCTTCCACTTCCCAGAATTCTCTTCCCTGCTTGTCCCGCCTATACTTCCTGCCTGGCTACTGGCCAATCAGCATTTTATTTATTAACCAATCAGAGCAACACCTTTAATATACAGAACATCCCACAGCAAGTGCTCTCAGCTTCAAGAGAAAGGAGAGTTTAAACAGTATAAGACAATCTCTCTGCAATCAGCGTCGCACTCAGCACCTCAGGCCAGCACCAAATTCTCACGCTCTGGCTTCCATCCGAGGCTACGTAAATGCAGCGGAACTATGATGCTTATTAGCTCCGTTTCATTTTGCAGTGCTACCTGTTACAGTGCCTGGCCTCATGATAAGCACGGAGACTTCCTGTGGCCGGCGGGGCGTGATCTCTGCTAGCAGGGAGCTCATAGTTCAAGGGGTGATCAGGAGTCATTGACACCATAGCGTTCTAAGTACACCGATGAGGTGTGCGTAGATGACGCCCTGGGTTCTCAGAGGGTATGCAGCCTTTTTAAAGGGGAGCTGGTGTTCAAGATGACTTCTTGGAGGAAGCGGTATCCGAGGGAGGGAGGGGTTGTTAGAAGCGCCACTGCAAGCCTGGAAAATGGTGCGTGTGGGGCTTGTTTCAGGCAGAGGGATCTGGACATGGATAAGAGCCCAGACTCTGGCAGGAGCCTTAAGTGGCCTCACAGGACTGGGAGGGACTATGCCTGCAGGGGACAGTCCGAGGGAATCAAGCCGAGGACAGATGTGACAGAGCTGACACCAGCTTATGAGAGAAGTAGTGCCACCGTCCCTTCATATGAGCTCAGAGAATGAAGTGACTTGGACTCCAGGAAGTAGAGTCAAGGAAGAAGAGATTGGCTTCCGGGTCGAGGGATCAGTGCAGGTAGCAGGGCCAAGTCACGTCTAAAACCCGTTTTGCTCCAAAGATGTTGTTTTCCCTGCCTTACTCTTTCTTGCTTTTTCAGTTGGGAAATGTTTAATTAGTTACAATGTGGACTCAGTTAATAATGTCTGTCTACAATAGGCCTGTCTGTCGGGGCCCCCAAGGTAAACATTCTTGAATCCGCTCCGGTTTAAATACATGGAAATCTATTTGAAAATATTCTCCTCTGAGCCTGGGGGAGGCAGCAAATCACCAAGAACTCACCTCGGGTTTGGGCTGCTCTGGCTGGGAGCAAAAGCCTGGGAGAGTCGCTCCAAATGGAACCCCAAGCCAAAGCCAGCCACACACACACACACACACACACACACACACACACACACACACACACACACACACACCACTTTTAAAAAGACTGGTATGTTTGTTCACGACCTTGGTTGACTGGAGTCAGAGAGCAGACATGATAATGCTTAGCATATTAGGAAAGAAAAGGGAGAAAAAAAAAAAGCTGTGCTTATACTTGGCAATGCCAGGCTTCCCGCACTTGGCAATGCCAGGCTTCCCGGTGGTAGCGTCCCTTCAGGGCTGGGGTGGGGGTGGGGCAGTACTCCTCAGTTTGTCTTTTTGCTTTTTCCCCTCCTTTTTCTTTCTTTCTCTCTTTCTCTACTCCCCTCCTCCCTTTCCAGTTAAGGAAAAACTCCAGCATCGCTGTGGTATTTAACCCCTGAAAAAGGCCAGCAAAAGCTCACTGAAAACAGTGTCATGATAGCTCCCGGGAATTCGGTCCCCGACGCTGGATGGCTGCCTTCTCTACTAGACACACTTGGTGGCAGTCCTTCCCTTCCGTCAGAGGGCTTTGGACTTCCTCACTGCAGATCTCTCACGGTAGGGCACTTTGGATTCTGGTGTGTCTTAAGCAAGGTTGGGATTCAGCCACAGGACAGCCACAGATGTGTTTAGGGCCGCCAGCCTGCCTCTTTTTCCTCTCCAGCGATGTTCTTATCCAGTGTCTTAGGGACCAGTGTGTCCTTGTTCCCTTTCTCCTGCTCTGAAAATGATGACCTGGAAGAAAACATGCCTTAAGGCTGGTCTTTGGAAGGGAGGAAAGAGCAATTATGTTGCTAATAAAAACTAACTCTTAGATAGCATACATACACCATGTGCAGATCATGTGGTTCTGAGTGTCACGTCTGTTGACTCATGGCGTTGCCTGAGACACTCTGTGCACTAGACATAATTATCTCATGATGTCCTTATATAAGGTCACATAGCTGGAATGTGATAGAGACACGGTCTAAATTTAGGAAGTCTGGTGTTTTCCATGCCCTTACCGTGTTTGAGAATGACCACGATCCATTGTCCACGACGCCACAAGCGCTGTGCTGCATACGATAGTACCTTGTTTTATTTAATATTCTTAACTGGCTCTTGAAATAAAGTTTTAGAGCCTCCCTTTGCAAAATCAGGGTGGAGAGGGTAAGTGACCTGCTGAGATGTCATGCCCAAGAAGCTGCAGGATAGGAGTTAGAACTTTGGTTTCAGTAACCACAAATTCCGTGTTCTTTCCATTAGAATATTCATGGGTCTGGACTGCCAATTACATGGAAAGGTACCAGCTCATTTTG